CACGACTGACCCTTTTTGTTTGGGTTTGAAATATAGGCCACCTCTTTGAGGGGCTGGAATGCAGAGTACCGAATATCGTATCGGAAAACGGTAAGGGCATTGGCTTTGTGCTCAGCGATGGTAGCCGTAGCCTCCACGAGAGTAGGGATGAGGCCCCTTCGCTGTGTCTTTCTTCCCACACTTGCTTTCACCCTTTGTCGCACGGCGTTCATCAGCTGCACGTTGGGCTGCGCGGGATCGTTCAGCATCAGCAAGTCGCTCTTCATGGGCACGGATGGCTGGTTGAAGTTGAGTGTTTAATCTCTGTCTCAACCATAGGTCCCATTCTGCAGCGGTGTAGTCCAAGCTGGGGTCGAGGTAGAGCGTTTCAGTGAAGCACTGAAGCCTGTCCACGACGCGATGCTGCAGGAAGACTTGGATGAACCCTGAGAGGCTGTAGGCCACTCCCAACCACATGATTGCGAGTGGGTCATCCTGTTCCGTTCCCAGCAGGCCTGCTCTAAGAGCGGCTGGATTGCACTCATGCAGATAGAGCAACCTTGCGACGCTTTCCGGGGACTCTGGTCGGTCCCAGCTACCCGATCCGTGGACGCCAGTGCCAAGGGTCCTCTGGGCCTGATTGCGACCAAGGTTCGGCAAGATCCCGTGGACAAGCACATCTTGCGTCCTCAAGAAGTCACGGTCGTAGCCGTTGTTGAGGGATGCCAGGGTGTACTCGGCGTCGGAATCGAATCGCTCCACAATGCTGGTACAGCCCTGCTTGTTCGCGAGCTTCAGCATTTGCTTCGCCTTTTCGATGGCAACCGAGTCCAAGCTTTGAGCGCCGCGTCCTCCCACTTCCTTGCGAATGTTGGCGAGGACCTCTTCGACAGACAGGCGAGAACGCGCCTTGCCTGTAGCGATTGCGGCTGCTTGCTCCTGGAACCATCTGTCGGTTTTGATGCGCTTGCGCTGGCTCTGCGCTGTGGCCTTGGCTAGAGGCTGAGCTTTGCATCGCAGACAAACCATTTGTCCCACCAAATGTGATGCGCCACAATGGGGGCAGGCACGTCGACGGCCACCCGCTGCGGGGGCTGGAGGCGGCAGGATACGGTGCGGAGGCTCCGTCGGCATCTTGTTAGCAGGCTTGGTAACATGCTCTGCCTTTGGTACCTCAGGTGCCTCGGCTGGTGCCGCTTCCTCCGGCTCATCGTCGATCATAGCCATAATGGTGTCTGCATCAGCGGTGTTGGCTGTTGGTACTTCCTTCGACGGTTGCGGAGGCTCCTCCTCAGCTGGCTGTGGAGGTTCGACCACACCCACGCCGGCACCATCATCCCCGTCCAACGTGGCAGCCTCCTCAGGGAGGACATCGGCAGCTGTCGCATCGAGGATTGCAGGCATTGGCGCGTCTGAGGTGTCGCCATACACTGGTGGTACATAATCATATCCATGGCCTCCGCTAAGTGGGGCTGGAACTTCCTCACCCATTGTTGTAGCCTCTTCCTCAGGCTCCTGGATGACCTCGGCGAGGATGGCTGCTTCCTCTTCGGGCTCAGCAGGCTCGGGAAAGGAGAAGAGATCCGTGGGCTCATCATCATCTTCAATGGTTGTAATCCCCGCAATCTCAACAATCACCTCAATGTCCTCGTCGCCTGGTGAGGGCCTTGTCCAAAGTGTCGCGTTGCTGTCTGAGTCCCTCACGTACAGAATGCACTCGCCGGGGACTCTCTCGCGACACAAAATTCCCTCGGACTCCGCCTCGAAGAGATAGGCGTGCTTCAGAACTTCCACCGTGTCGAACACGAGTTCGACGTGCAAGTTGGCCCGTACCCCAGCCCTGTTACCGAGTTCGGATAACGTGGCTTTTGCGAAGTAGCAATGGTACTTCCCCGAGCCAAGAAATCCTGGAATGAGGCCATCTTCAAGGATCTGAAAGGCTGCGTCATGCGTTGTGCGGCGGTACAGACGCGCTGGGAAGCCTTAATCACCACGGCACAGGAACGGCTTGCCTTTGTAGGCAGCTGGAACTCTGTCGACGGTACGCCTCCTTGGGTCGAGCCACACGGTTGCGATGCTTGAGGCGTCGACTTGGTCCTTGATCCGTGCGCTGTGTCCGTGGCTGGCACTAATCCACAAAGGCCAGATCCCGCAATCGATGCATTCATTGCGAGGATCCCCAACATGTCCAGAGAGAATGAAGCGGCCCTTGTTGTCGTGGGCAACCAGCGACTGAAGCATGCGGTGCCCGATTTCGACCTGATGGCGCTTCTTCAACTGAAACAGCAGCTCCTCTACGCGAATCCATTTGCCGACCCTGCTTTTCGAGTCGATGTTGGATCCCCGCACGGCTCCGATCATCCATTTGGCAACTCGATCTACCCAACGAGGGGGTTTCTGCAAGTGATCCATAGGGATGTCGTCCTTCTTGATGACTCTCATGTCATCGCCCTCAGGATTATTGCCGCTGAGCCTGCAGTAACGATCATCGTCGACACCGAGCATGAAGTTGAGGTCATTGTCATCCGTGACCTTGTGCCAGTCAGGTCCCTTGGGTTAACCTGCAGCTCTCGGCCACCGCTAGGCGGGGCTGTAGAGGAGCTTGCTGCCTCCGTGGTGGTCTTGGACTTGCGAGCGGCCTTGGCTGCTGAGAAAGTGCGGCTAGCCTTGGTCCGATACGGAATGGCATCCATCACCTCATCGAAAGATGCAGTCACCATAGGGGGTGCCAGGGAGGAGGATGACGTGGCCACAGCTGGCGCTGGGCGGGTGCATAGCCTGATTGCTTTGCATCGATGTCTCGTTGAACACCGTAGTTCCACTCCCGAAGCTCCGCGGGCACATCGACCTCCTTCATGCCGGTCACCTTAATCTCTGGTTCCGGTACCCAGGTTTGTTCCCAAGGGTCCGGACACTGTTCATGTGCCTCTTTCAGCGCGGCCTGCCTTTGAAGGCGGCGGGACTTCTGTTGGCTTGCCAGCGTCCTATCGAAGATGTGACGCATCAGGTATTTCCGTTCCGCCTTGGCGTCAAACGGATACTCCGTCATCAAGCGCTCGAAGTCCGCGTCTGGGAGCTGGGCATGAGTTGCTTCGACCTGGCACAAATGCACCCGATTCACGATGACGTTTGCGAGGGCTGACCTGTGCGTGCTATCCTCCCTGAAACGGTACCCGTCATACTTCCGGTATCTCAGCTACCGCCTCTTCCAGGCTACCAGTAAAGAGGCCGCGTCCACGGGCGTAGCTGAAGAACATCCTGATCGCCTCGCGATACTCGCGAGGAAGATTGTAATCGATCGGAGCAGC